CTTGGGTTGTTACTGACATCTGGTGAAAATTTCATGTCATTAGCACCTCTAGTAATATATTTACTGAGAAAAATGTTGACGTGTTCAATACTTATTTTACCCGCTGTAGATATAAACGAACGTTTCTTGTGCTCTAGAATCATGGAAACAGAAATCAGAAGGATTTGAGTCACCCGTGACTTTTAATTACTTTTGGGWGAGAATTTGTCTTTTAAACTATAATAGTTTCAGGAGGATGAAGCCAAGAATGCAGACTGGGGAAAAAATCATAAGAAATTCCCAAACTAAATGGCACAAAACAGACAAAATACTGAGAAAACACTTATAATGACAGGAGTGCTTTATTCAATAAAAGCGGTGAAAATATAAATCTGATCRATTATGATGTGAAGCAAACATTTCCGTCTCGCAGCTCTTGAATGTCAGAAGAACCTGGAGTTCTCCTACCAGACTCGGGCCTGTAACCGCACGTGTTTGTCCCTGGCCGGACCGGATCCTCGCTGCGAGCTGGACGAGGGTCCGGTGGAGGGCTGCGGCTGTCCTGAGGGAACCTACCTGAACCAGGGACTCACCTGCACCCCCAAGGCTCAGTGCATGTGTCACTACACGGGGGGCGTGACTCCACCGGGGTCTGTAGTCGTYGACGGTCAACAGTGGTGAGTCGAACAGGAAGCAGGAATAAATACAGGTTTTTCTACTTTAAAGATGTTTTAAACTGTGCTTTTATTTTGAAAGCCTTTGTGAAGATGGAGAGCTGCGCTGCTCTAAGGACTGTGGTAAATCAATCTTTTATCTGAAATTATTTTTAGATCAAGCCAAACCTCCTTATTTACCTTTAGGTCAGCAAAATAATAAATCCAATAAATAACCCTGGAAAACAAATACACGAAGACGTCTGCAGTGATTTGTCTTTTAGCTGTAAAAGCATCTCTAATTAATTTATGTGCCAGTTAATTGTGAAAACATAATTTTTAAACATTTTAATGAATGAAAAATTTTTACGKTCCTGTTTTAATTTGTTTAAAACTTTAAAATAATAGTTATCTTTGTTTAGCTTAGCCTAACTTATTTTATTTAGCTTAATACTTTAATTAAATTCAGCAGCTTTTTTTTTAGCTTGAACTTCAGATTTAGATTAGAYTTTATTAAGATTTGTCTTGAGTTAAATTGACCTAATCTGGTTTGGAATTTTATTTAAATATATATGATTGGTTTTTTTTAGAGCTAAATTAGCCTTACCTCTAATTTACACTACATGCGTTCYGGTTCCGCTCTGCTGCGGTCCAACCTCTGCAGCAAATACGCACCCATTATAATCAATGACAGTATTTACACTGGCTGCGCACGGCGGTGGTGAGCGGACGGCGATCCAGCAAATTTAGATCCGATCCTATTTCCTTCAGATGCCGGAGTCAGTTTTTTAAGATTACGTCACACCAACAGGAAGAGGAATGAGCACAACATCTATATTTTCAAAATAAGACACATAATTTTGTCGAAATTGCAGCTATATTATATATATGGACATATTTCTACACAAATGCTGTCAAAATGTATCGTTCTGTTTGGGAAGCAGATGGCAACATGTAGATGAAGCATATGTGTACAACACGACACATGGATTTTTATTTTGAAATCAGAAGTTTCAAAAAGACAACAGCGATACAGTTTCAACCACAGAAATCAAATGCTTTTATATCAATGTTTCATTTGTGTTTGGAGTTAATCTTTCACAGAATTAATACGTTTTTGCTCTGACTTCTACATTTATCACTGGATTAATGGTGTGATCTCCTTCCTGCACACTCTCCCTCCTCTGTGTGTCGCACCTGAGCGGAGCAGAGACTGTATAAATTGGGTTGCAAATGTACAGCTGTGAACTGCGCACCGCAGCGCAGCGGAGCGGAGTCGCATGTAGTGTAAATCCGGGGTTAGCCTCACTTATCTTAACTAATCTTAGTTTAATTTATCTTAAATTGTCTGAGTTTATGTTTTAGTTTAGCATGGTATATCTTGTTTCATTTACCTTTAACCTAATTTAGCTTTATTCTGATWTTAGTTGCATCGAGTTAATCCTATTTAACTGAATTTATCTAAAGTCTAAATTTAATCTAAGATTAGCTTATTTTACTGTAATTTAGTTAGCTTATCTTAGTTTACTCTTAATTGTAGTTTAAACCAACTATCTTAGCGTAGTTAAGCTTATGTTGAATTTGATGGAGTTTAATTCTGTTACTTTTATCATCTSATAAAACTTTCTTTCACTTTTGAACAACCTATTACAACACAAAAGATTTATTGTGGTGTTGATGTTTCTCAGGTTGCAGAAACGGGACGGTTTGTTTCCGCTGCTCAGAGTTTCCGATGAACACGGCTCAGAAAACCTGCGACAGTCTCAGCAAGCCGTTGGTGGGTACCGCCTGTTGGACCCAAACAGGTGAGCTGCAGAATAAATGATAATAAACACATTTTTATTTATTTATTTTTTATTTCAGATTTCCAACGCCACCTGTGTAAGCGGCTGTTTCTGCCCGGAGGACGAGTACGAGGATCACTACGGTCAATGTGTCCCCAGGAACAGCTGCACCTGCATGTACAGCGGCAAAGTGTTTGGTGCCGGAGAGCTCGTCAGAACCAGCTGTAGAACTTGGTAACAAACTTATTGTTGTGGTTTCAGCTCCTGTAAAACCAGCTTACGCTGACGTGACTGTTTTCTGCCAGTGTTTGTAACCAGGGCCAGTGGAACTGCACGGATAAGCTGTGCGTGGGAAAGTGCCAGGTTTATGGAAACGGGCATTACCAAACCTTTGACTCTAAGTGGTACCGCTTCGGTGGACACTGTCAGTACACGCTTGTAGAGGTGAGGGCTGAGCCTTTCCAGAAACAGTGGGCCTCATGCAAGAACCGYTGGTACGCACAGATTTGTTCTTAAGTTGTGCGTACGAGTGATTTAGGAGAATTTGTGGCATTCACTTGCACTTTCAGTCTGCTGTTATCCAGACGGGTTTTCCTCCCTAATAACTTTATATTTCATTAGTTTGAAGATATTTTGAGTTGAAAATAAATCACACTCCATAATTATGTTGACAATAGGCTATTCTGCTTGAATTAGAGTTATAATTTTAAATGCAATAATTTAGATAACAATATACGTAAATTCTATGTCTCGCCAGCCTATACATGATCGGGTCGTGGGGGCAGCTGGAGACCCCACTCTTCCCAGCGACACCTTCCAGCTCGTCCTGGGGGACTCTGAGAC